GACATGTCAAAATATGGATATGACCGGATCTAATCTCAACCAGCTCCCGGATCTGTATTCTAAACGGCAAAGTGGTATCGACAAAAAAACACACGAAAATCTACGAGAAGATTAGGGAAGTGGACGACAATATCAAGAAAGAGATATAGGGTGCTGATGCGGAAAGCGAGAGGAAAACATTCGAGCTCACTGTCATCGTGTACACCGAAGACAAAGCAGAATGACGTAAAATCGACGGAAATCAACGACAGGATTGCAGGAGTATATGAAAAGATCAAGGGAGAAAAGGAGATATAGAATGCAGATACAGAAGGCAAGAAAAGGGTGGTCAGGATTACAGAGATCGTCCACGCCGAGGAGGATGGGACAGCGGACATAACCGCAACTTATCGTGAGTGAGAGGCTCATCGCGTTCGAATATATCGACCTGACACACCTTATACAGTGGTATCGAACGCGTCATGGACATCTCTATATGATCTCCGGGCGGCGATATCTCGCAACAACATAACTTTACAATATCGAGTGACTATCGCTCAAAGAACGGGATAAGATTGGAAAGGAATATATTTGACGCTCTCTACCGCGTTTCCTCAACTAGAAAGTGTCACTTTGGACTTGATCGGTAGAGGCTTAAGCAGTTACACGGCTGCTATCAACGAAGAAGCTAAGTGAAAGATGTTGATTCGAGACGAAAGCTAACGAGCTTAAATACAGGAAAAAGATGTTTAAGAAGAGAAAATAAACGCTACAATATTAGCAAAAATATTGAAAGGCATAGTTCCAATGCTATACTCGCGAGTGGGGTGTTGCAAGCAGATGAAGATGTTACGGGCATGACGGCGTCGGTGCTGGATTGGATCGGCTAGAAAAGGCAATCCCTAAGCTTTCTCCTCACTGGCTCAACCCAATCGTCCAATACTTTTCGAAAAGGAAGGGTGGATTCGGTAAAGGAGGCAACATCGCCCCTTCGTCTTCGATGAATCAACCTGCTCCGGGAGGCGTAGTAGACCTTTTTGCGACATCTATTTTGTCTTATGACGCCTATGGAGGTGAAGGAGGGAGCACTCTTGGAGCTGCATTTGCGGTTCCCGAAGCTCTGGCTATCGAAGGCACCATTTCAACTTCTTATATCATAGAGGGTCTCTCAACCATCCCAAGTGACACCGACCTAACTGCCCAGGCCCACAAAGTTACAGTGGCGGTCGTGGATCTTGCTGCAGACCTGGCCCGATCCACTTTAGCAAGGCCCCTCCTGCTATCCAGCCCTTCCGTTGCCAACTCGACGCCGTTCGAAATCTTCACTTCTTCAGAGACCATTAATTTCTCCTCCGCAATAAACATCTCCGAAAAGCGATCTTCCAGTAAAGATCCTGATCATGCCTCTTCCTGCGAGCTCGATCTGAGAAGGCCCGAGAAGGCAGTCTTCGTAATTTGATATTCGGATATCAGTATCTGATCCCACATGACCATGCTGAGCTATAGGCATCTTGCATATTCATTATAACATTCCTTCTGGGCCCCACCCGCCCCAGCAAGCCCCCTCATGCTATCCCCCCCTTCTCC